GCCGGTTCAACCAACTGTCGAAGTTTGCTGATGACTCAACAAGAACCGAATGAGCCGTGGCGAAGTTTGCAGAGGATTACCGAAGATTCTGATGATGAGTGAGTTGACCATACTGTGCAAGCCTGAGGCGCGTACTGGAAATATGCTTATTATGACTGTTATTAATTTACATTTTCTTTACATTTACTTTCTGTCGAGTGATGTAAATAAATTGTACAATAGTTTATTGTGCATGCATATAATATTTAAAGTTGCTTAAAGGAGACATATTATGCCCCTTTTTACAAAATGTAATACAAGTCTCTGGTGTCCCCAGAATGTGTCTGTGAAGTTTCAGCTCAAAATACCCCACAGATCATTTATTATATCATTTTGAAAATGCCTATTTTGAGTGGAAGCAGAAACACGCTGTTTTTCGGGCCTGTGTCTTTAAATGCAAATGAGCTGCTGCTCCCCGCCCCCATTTACAGCTCGTACCTGCTAAAAACATCTGTTTTGGTTCTGATTATCATGTTTATCGCACTGAAATCATGCGTTTTAAACCACATGAGTTTAAACTTCAGATATAAGGTTTTCTGAGTGCACACATGCAAAGCACACGCACAGAAAGCGGCTGTCACAGCACGTGAGTACTAAACTAAGTTCTCATTCACACAAGTTTACGTTAAAAACACACGAGTGGATGGAAACGTGCAGATTAAGGGGCGGTAATATTATAATGAGATCCCTTTGCAACATCACTAGGGGAGCGAAATCAGACGCGCTGGTTTTCTCAGACGCTTGCAGAAAAAGGCTTCCCAAAACTAAGTTACTGGGTTAATCTTTTTCACGTTTCATTGGTTGGTAGATGCACCGGGGACCTGATTATAGCACTTACAACCTGCAAAAGTCAGGTTGTCATGATATGTCACCTTTAAGCCTTTGGTACCAACCCTTCCAGCCTTTATTCAGGACACAAACAGATGCAATTTAAAAAAAATTAAGGATATTGGGTCTGTTGATCCTGCTTCTCTGTTGGTAGAAAAGCTGGCATGGCAGTTCTACTTCTGACACTGGAAATGTTCCTGTGCATATTGGGCACTGGGCTTCAAGTGCCTACACATTAAAGACAAAAATGTATGTAGGGAAAATTTTGTAAAATAGGAATTGATAATTGACAATGTTCAATGTAGCTTTTGCTTGTGTACCTCCTGAGGGGGATTGCAACATTGGATGATGTTGCATCATGTCTAAGGTTTTGCCTTGAAGATGTTGCTTAAATCTTCTTGCAAACAGAAAAGAAAAATGTGATGTTCTACTGATAGCATTCTAGGCTGTTGGGAGTAGTCACAAATAAAAACACCCCTTAGAAGTCAGGGGCATATTGAAATGTGGAAGTTAGTTAATTAAAAGGTGTTCAAAGCAAAGTCCTGAATATCAGTCCTTACTATTGAAATAATAAGTTTCGCAATTGTCATTGCACAGGTCTTAAAGATAGTACAAAACAAACCTGTTGTTAAACTGCACAATACCTAGTCTTGCAGACTAGGGTGAAGTCAGAATGTACAGACATCGGTCCCAAATCGTTGTAATTTAGAAAACTTTGAATGGCAAACTGTACAGCTTTTGGGTGCCGCGAATAGACTTGAGGGTGCACACGGTCATAATTTATGAATCATAATAACCCGCCAAATGGGCTAGTGATTTGATGTGCTTTTCTCGCCTTACTTCACTGGAGCTATAATAATTTATAATCATTGAAAACTTTGGCCTGACGCTTTACTATTGGGGGCTCTGGCAGCTAGCTATACTGTTGGCTAATCATATCTACAACGGACTTAGCTAACGTTACGTATTTAGATGGGAGAACATGAGAAGAGAGAGAATAATTAAGTTCACTTGTCACTGAGTTTAAGATGTTAAATTAGTAACCTTACCCAGTAAACAACCTCGCTCGCTCTTCTGTCAGACTGCGGCGGCAGTGGCGGGGACTCCGGGCAGAGATTGTCGTACTGTAAGGAGATGAGAGGGTCTGTATTACTTACTATTTCTTCTTCTTCTGGTGTTTTATGGCGGTTTAGCAAACCAGCGAAAGAGGTGCATTACCGCCACCTACTGATCTGGAGTGTGGAGTGTGCATAAATTTGGAAGAAAGAAATACAGAAGGGAAAGAAAGGAGGAGAAAAAAAAACAAAAAAAAAAACACTAGATTCTATCTATTGTTCCTGTGTTTTTCAGGTATTTACACTGTCTGTTTGTGATCGACTCACTCCATTACTTACTATTGGAGAAAGCGTAACGGCTAACTTGGATCACGTGTCCTTTAATAACCAATCACATTACAGCCTTGACGTCATTGAATTTCAGTCAGAGTTGTGCGACACTCAATTGTCGTTTACGGATACCATACGAATGAATGAGAAGTGCCGTAAGCTGAATCCCACCTGTCGCAAAAAGTCAGTGACTTCTCTTATAAAACGGCATTTTTTTCGTGGTAAACTAAAAATAGTTCAATCCAAATGTATTGTTTAGTGTAAAACATGTTGAAGATTAGCAGATAGGCTGTCGATTCATTAAATGATAAGCCGTTTCCTCTAAAAAGCTGTTTGTTCAGCGTAGTGAAGCCTCTCCTCCATTGACATCCATTTAAAAAAAGGCCTCTGGTCTCCTTTCCCACGTACTTCCAGACCGGAAGTGTTAACTTTAGCCGTTACGCTTTTTCGGCTAATGGTTGCAGGCTTGCCTTCTAGTGGCTTTGTTCTGGGCCCAGGGGAAACGTAGTGGGCGTGGTCAACCTGTGACTTCAATCAAGAGTGACCAATAGAAAAAGGCCTTTCATCCTGGTGGGTAGAGACCGCCCACTGAGAGACAGCTTCACTCGCAAGCAAAACTTTTCAACTCGCAAACAAAAGTTTTAGTTTTAGTTTAAAAAAAAAAAAAGACGGCAGAAAAGAGCCACATTTGTGGTTTCGTGATAAAGTTTTTGAAGTGCACAAAGTAAAATACTATTTTTCAAAGATTTACACGCCCTGCAAATTATTAATTGTTTTCAATTTATTTATTTTTAAGCCTCTAGAAGACTTGTTTTTGCACTCTTTTATTTTTTTAAATGACAAAATAATTAGTTTTGCTCTCAAACACAGTATGTTTGATTGAATAAAAAAGACACAAAAGTAACTCCATAGATAAACACATAGATTTGTGTTTCTGTTGTCATTCTTCTTTTCATCTGACAAATTTAGAGACAAAAACTCTCAATGATAAATAACTCTGAATAATAAATGTGGAAAAGCCTTTCCCTAAATAGCAGAATAAATGCATCACAGTGTGCAAAAGTGCTCTCAAGTCTCTTAATGAATGCTGTTTAGCATCAGGTTTATCCATAAATATTACAAATGTGAATTAATTGCATTAATGGAAACACCCATTAACTTATTCAGAATTATATGGCATTCCAGAGTGCATCAATTTATTTGCTCCATATACAAAATTATTTTCAAACGTGCGTATATCTGTTTCAAAATAAAACCTAACCCTGCTGTTCATTGATATGTTCACATGTCTGATGTTCCGGTCGCTGTAGCATTTCTAGTAAAACTCAGATATTAAAGACTGAATGACAGGACATTGAAGACAATCGCTTGGCTCTTGGCTCCCCCTGAAGGTTAAGATGTTCATCCACATAAAGTCATGATTTAAAACTAAAACTATTACTTGTTTACTTATATAGCCTACGTGATGGTAATGCATTATTTATTTTTCAAATCTATTATTTGTCACTCTTGCAGTATAAAACAGCCTGATGGACACCTATATAGTTTCTACGTTATGTGTTTTTTGTTTACTTCAGTAAGAAAGTTAGAAGGTGCCTAATTTTGATACTTTTTTTATCCAGTCATTATTGTCACATTATTATCTTAAGTATTTAAAGTGCTTTTAAAGAATAGAAAATGCTTTATTTAAAACAGAAGCCTGATAGACCTACGTTATTGTTCACTTCATTGGCTAAAAAAAAAAAAAAAATCTGATTAC